CTGGAGTGGCTGCCATTGGTCAGGGCTGATCTCCTGCACCTACCCCTCCCTCCAGCTGGAGGCTAGGTTCCTGGGGTTAAAAGGTAGCCTCTTCATTCTAGGGCCAGTCTTCCATCTTGCCTCCTGCCAGAAGAGTGGCTTGCAGGCCAGTGCAGGGCTGGGTCGGTGGCCTGGGTCACCTCCCATTTGTTTCCCTCCATTTTGTGTTGTCATAAATTCATTCCAGCCCGTTGTGCTTGATCAGTTTATCTCGGCCGGGGCCGCAAGTGCTGCTGGCATGATGTATGGGCCGCAGCGCAGGGCCCGGCTGCCCATGAATCACCGCAGCTGCTCCGTGTCAGCGCCGGAGCGGGCCATACGGATTCGGTGCAACCAGCTTAGGGAGGGGGGGGTGACGTATGGATGTTTATTTAATAATTCTCTCCTACTCCAGCTGAGCGGGGCGGGCGGGGCTGTAAGGGGCGCCTACCCTCGTCTGGAGGGACTGCTCATAAATCAGAAAGACAAGATCATTAATCAAGGATGGCGCCCAAGGGGGAGGTAGGGGCCAGAGCCAGTGGCCATCCATGAAGGTGCTACCCACCCAAGGCTAGGGGAAGTCAGCATTTCTGTCCCACCTGTGTGAGCACAGGCTCTAGTGGGTGGGGCACTCTAGGACTGATCCCTGCTATACAGAGGTCTCCATTGGGCCTAGATCCACTAGGATTGATACTCTTCGGTCCCATGACATTCTAGGTCACAAAGTACAGGTTCCAGCAAAGGGGAAAGCCCATCCTTGTTGAAAAGTTACCAACAGTTCAGATAGGAATGGCACGTAGGTAGAGCACTGAGCAAAATGCCAGAGAAGAAGCTAGCTGTGCTAATGAGGGAGAAGTGGGTAAAGACTTCCCAGAGCCTGAGATTGAGCATGGAGAACCCACCGGGAACCTACGAGCACTAAAAAGAACTGGCAAAGCTTTTTCAATCTCTGGAGAAGTGGGGTGGATAATTATGGGCTCATTGTGCACAGCCACTAGGGAGTCACATTTCTGTATTGCTGCTGATACCCTAAAAAAATCAGATTGAAATTTGCTGTACATTAAATGTTACTACTACCAGCTGGGCATTAGTACATTTCTGTAATCTCAACACTCCAGAGGCCAAGAGAGGAGGGTTGTGGGTTTGAGGCTAGCCTGAACTACATAGTAAATTTGAAGTTAGCCTGAGATATGTAATAAGACACCATCTCAAAAGCATAAAACAGTAAGCACGTTCCCTGTATTCCCTTCTGACCAGTGTGGACACATTGTCCTCCATGTTAGCCAAATCGTCCCCACTACCACAGGCAGTCCTAATGGAACTCACCTTTTAAAGCTCTCCCGTTCTGTCAGGTCCCGTCCCACCCCAGGCTGCCCATGACAGCTGTGCCCTGCTGCTGCCTGGAGAAGTCTCCCTTCTCCGTTTTCACCTGCTTGCCTCCCAGCCTGCATGAGCTCTCGGGCTGCTTGGCCTGGGGACTCTTCTCTCTGTTAGCAGGACGGCCTTGGTCTGCCACGGTCTGGGCAGGCTACCTGGTTTCTTCACATGTAAAATGAACATCTTCTCACAGGTTTAGGAGGTATAAGTAATATAATTATTAGTTCCTCAGTAAAAATACCTGGCAGTTAATAAATACTTGATAAAGGTTGGCTGTTCGCGTAGCATTGTCATTCCCTAAGGCACATCCCCAGGATCATCATTTCTGGGGCCAGGAAGCCTTTCTCTCCTTAGAGTGTTCCCTGGGGCTATTGCTTTTCAGAGGAGTGTGGTGGGTGGGATCTTTGAGATTATTCTAGCCATTCCTTCTCTGTGCTGCTGGGTTTGTTTCAGGATTAGATTATGGGCTTGAAACTACCTAGACTAGTTCGGTCCCACATCGCTGCTTTTCCCTGAAGGTTGGGCTGGCAAATGTTTCCTCATGCTTCCATCCCCAAGTCGGTCTTATGTCACCAGTAAATAGTCTCTGGGAGATGTTTTTAGCAAGCAAGCCTTTGCCTTCAGGAAACTCAGCCTCGCTAAGGAGACAGACACCTTTGCTGTCGGGATGCTAGGGTGAATGGAGTTGAAGACAGAACATCTGGAGAAGCCGGAGTGATAAGGCAGGGCTGGTGATTCCTGGAGAAGGAACCAGAGAGAGCAGTATAGAGAGGCTGAGGGAGGGGAGGAATAGTTTGGATACACTGTTTATATGACTAGCATAAGGATGTGACAAATTACTGAGGAGAGATGCAGATAAGTTGGGCCAGTTGATGCTGAAGGAGACACTAAAATGCTGGAAATAAAAATGGCTGGATTGGCCTTTAGAATGTAAGTTTTGCCAGGGGCTGGCAGGACGAGCTCGAGGAAGGGCTACAGCAGAGAAGCGACTGTTTGGGTTAGTAAAGTGACCCTTAGAGCCCTTGTGGATGAGGAGCTGGAGGTGTGGCTCAGCTGATGGGATGCTTTCCCAGCACGTGATAGTAGGGGCAAGAAGTACTTTCTGTTTTGTTGTGTTTTTTTGAGACAGGGTTTCTCTGTAGCTTTGGTACCTGTCCTGGAACTAGCTCTTGTAGACCAGGCTGGCCTCAAATTCAGAGATCCGCCTGCCTATGCCTCCCGAGTGCTGGAATTAAAGGTGTGCGCCACCACCGCTCAGCTTAAGAAGTACCTTTTTTTAAAATGCCCTGATGAAATTTCATATTTAGAATGCTAATTTGAGAAACAAAGGGGGGGTTTAAGAATACTGGCTGTTTGACCAGAGGACTGAGGTCCGGTTCCTATAAGGTATGTCAGTTTACAGCCTTCTGTACCTCCAGTTCCAGGGGATCTGGAACTGGATGCCCTCTTCCAGCCCCCACAGGCTCAACACCCATGCACTTAAAATTAAATTTTGTTTCATTTTTTCGAGACAAGAGTTTTTATGTGTTGTCCTGGAACTCACTGTGTAGACCAGGCTGACTGCAAACTCAAGAGCCCCTACCTCCCTAGTGCTGGGATTAAAGACATGCGACACCATGCCTGGCCAAAAAAAAAAAAATTTTTTAATTTAATAAATTTGAAGATTTAGTTTTAAAAATTCAAGGTTACTCTCGGTTACATAGAAAGCTTGGGGCTAGCCTGGGCTATATGAGATTGGTTTGATTTGAGATAATATCTATATAGCCCTGACTGGCCTGGAACTCCCTTTGTAGACCATGCTGGCCTCAAAACTCACAGAGATCCGCCGGCTACCCATTTCTGCCTCCCAAGTGCTGGGACTAAAAGGTGTGTGCCACCATATCCAGGGTGACTGTTTCCTTTTTTTAAACATAAGGGTCACAGCATGGTGGTGTGTGGTGAGAGTGGGAACGAGTGGAGATTTCAGAGAAACTAGCAAGGGGGTGGACAGGTTTTGAAAGTTGAGGGTAAGGGGTTGGGATGGTTGCCAAGACTCCGACTTAGACATTCATTAGGTAGACACGCAGGAGTACTGAGTTCAGTTCTGCAGGGAGTAGCTGGCAGGCGGAGATGCTGAGAAGAGGCTCCCTGTGTGACTCTGGGTGGAGGGTACCACCTTGCTACCCCACTGTGCATTGTCTACAGAATCACCGAAGATTCAGCTGTAACTACTTTTGAGGCCCTGAAGGCTCGTGTCAGGGAGCTTGAACGGCAGCTATCTCGGGGGGACCGGTACAAATGCCTCATCTGCATGGTGAGTGGGAAGGAATCAGCGCCCTGTGGGTTAGGGAGGGTCTCGGCTGTATCTGGGCTCTCAGAGGGTGAGCTTGCTTCAGTGACCCCTTCTCTGCCCACCTCCTCCCTAGGACTCCTACTCGATGCCCCTAACGTCGATCCAGTGTTGGCATGTGCACTGTGAAGAGTGCTGGCTGCGGACTCTGGTGAGGAGAGGGTGGGCAGCTATTAGAGGCACTGGCCAGATGTTCACGTCTGTGGCTGCACCTGCTTGGGGGAGTTCAGGAAGACCTGAGTCAGGGTCCCCCCCCCAAGTTGAATACATTGTCTGCCCTCTACTTCAGGTTTATTCTGTTCCCCCTCCCTTCCCACCCCAAGGCAGCCCTGGTGTCTCACATATATTGCTGAGACCCCAGATCAGAAAGAGGCTGGTGGTGGGTAAACCAGACCAGGGCCTCTGCCCCTCCCCCTCCCATTACTAAGCTCCTTCTGCTCCTGCCCTGTTCTTAGCTCGGGAGCAACCATTAAAATGTCGCCCGGAGACAGCAATAAAAGGCCCGGACGTGGGCTCTGTGTCCTGATCAAAGGCCGCATGTAATCTCGTTAGGGCCGAGGCAGCCACAGCTGGACCCAGCCTTGTTCTCATTACCAGGGCTCCTGCTGCGGGGCTGGCCAGGCGGTTTGATCCTGGCGTCTCCCCAACACAGGAGCATGTCTGCCTACTCAGGCAGCCCATGCATCCCTAGCCTGGCTGACGGGAATGAACTCGCACACAAACTGGTGCAGAGACATGGCTGCAGGCCCGGTGCTCATGTGCACAGATACAGATCACGCTCTGTCTCACGGAGCCCTCCCCCTTTTTCTCTCTTCAGGGTGCCAAGAAGCTCTGCCCTCAGTGCAACACCATCACAGCGCCTGGAGACCTGCGGAGGATCTACTTGTGAGCTAGCCATCCCAGCAGGCCTTGCCTCGATCAACCCCACCTGCCCAGCCTCTGTGACAGTGAACCCCTTTCCCTTTGTACATAATTGCACACAGGTTTCCGGTGTACATACACGCACATACACACCCAAACACACATAGAGGACTCCGGAGCCAGAGTGGAGCAGCCTTTCTTGTGTGCTCCTTCTGAACTTGGGGACCATGCCTCTTTTGGCTCTGTTTCCAGTGTGGGGCAGAAAGGTAGGGATGGGGAGTAGCAGGACAAGGCTCCTGAGATCCGTCCCCTAGACTGACTGACAGACATGCAAACACCAGACTGAAGCACATGTAATATAGACTGTGTATGTTTACAATGTTGTGTATAAATGGGACACTTTGCCCTCCACCGCCTCCCCTTTGGTTGTACGATTTTCTTTTTTTTTTTTAATGACTCCTGGAAGCAGTGCCCCCTTCAGGGCTGGCTGGGGGCTCGGCCCATCCACCTCTTAAGGTGCCTGCCTGCCTTTCCTCTCCCATGGCATCTCTTCCCTTTCCCATGTGCTCGGTGTTCAGTGGTGTATATTTCTTCTCCCAGACGTGGGCCATGTGCCCCAAGGGATATGATCCTCCTTAGTCTTAGCTCATGGGGCTCATATGAGGAGCTGGGGGGGTAGGGTGAAAGATGGGACCGAGCAGAAACAAGCTGCAGCCGGGCTGGCTGAGGGTGCCTGGCTGCCCAGCCTGATGTTAAGAGCAACTCCTGGGAGTAGAGTGCTGCTCTGGGCGGAAGTGCTATCTCCCTTGCCTTCCTGTGCGCCCTGTGGTGTGATGCTGTGTCTGTATATTCTATACAAAGGTACTTGTCCTTACCCTTTGTAAACTACATTTGACATGGATTAAACCAGTATAAACCAGCTGCCGTCTGTGTGTGAAGCCCTGCAGGGTGGTGGGGGTGCCCTGGAGCCTCCCAGCAGGCAGAGGTGGGGCAGGGCTAGGAATCTGAACTCCTAGCTATCGATGGGCAGGGGCTCTAGGTTAATTCCTTATCGATGTAGAATCGTCAGCTCATTAATCACAAAAGAGGTCAGGGCTTGGGGTACAGAGGGGGCTATCAGCACTAGTCCCCAACCTAGGGCAGAAGCAGCCTCAGACAAGTAGAATGTGCTGTGGGTCCCTGGCTCTCGGTCACCTGCTGAGCTTCCACCTGCCCAGATCCATGTCAAGAACTGCTGGCTGTCAGGCCTGTCAATGGAGCGCCTTGGTAGTCAGCTCCACGGCCCCCACTGCCAGCGAAGTACCTGTGCCTTCCAGGCCGATGCTCAGAGTGTAGGTGAGCCCTCACCATAGAAACGCCTTGAGGAAAAAGATGGTTGCTCAGACTCAAAGGCCAGGATCCAAACTTGGCCCGCTTTCTCAAATCCCTGCCTTGATACCCACTTCTGGGATGCCCACAATATAGAGAAATAAGGTCTGGTTGGCAGCCCCTGCCTCCTTTTGCACCCAGTAAAGAAGATGAGCTCTTGTTGGAACCCAGCAAAGGCCTTTTGTGGCCCTCACGCTCTGTGCTTGGTAGCACCAACTATCCTGAGCACAGCTTCTAGGGCCGGAAATGAGACGACATGGCTTCCACTGTGAAGTGCGGCAGCAGCCCTGATGGTGCCTGGGAAACGGTAACCTGCTTCAGTGGTTGGTTCTGGGCAACGTCTCTACTCTCCCCTTCCCTGCCTCGGACTCAGTGGTTCGTTGGCAGCTGCTTACCCCCACCCCGGGGCCAAGGACACATTTACAGTGCGGGCATCCCACCAAAGCATGACTTAGGCTGTCTCATGGCACAGGCAACACTGCCACCTGTTGGCCACGGGTAGGAATGCAACCACATCTCCAAGGACTCGGAAAAGTATCTCAGAACTGGAGGTTTGATGCCCTGCAAATACAGTTGGCCTCTCGAGACTCGGGGTCCATCACTCAATGGGGACTTAGGAGTCCCCCGCCCACCCACAGATCCCAACTGCTTGCCAAACTTTGAAAACCCTTCGTTGAAACCCAAGTCCCTTGATGACAGAAAGTTCAATCGACAAATACTGAATGCCTAGCTTACCATGTGCCAGAATTGTGCAGCCGTGACTTGTAACACAGTAGATGGTAGGACTTACGGTGACAGTCATCTCCCCCTTCTGGAGGGTACTGAGTGGGAGTATCTTTTAGGAAATGGGAGTGTAATTTCAGCCAGAATCCCCGACCCTGGTTCTGGCCTCCTAGACACATCCTCCTCCCTCCTACTGAGTATGGCGGCCTTTCTACTCCCCACTTAGTCTTCCTGTTAAATACAGAGCCATCAAATTCCTCAGATTCAATGGCCCCCTAACAAAGTGTGTGGTACCAGGCAGGCCCCAAATACCCCAATCCTCAGACCTCATCTGGTGTCTGTCTCAGATTCTCAGACCACACGGTCAGAGACAACCTCTCTGAGTGACAGGACAGATGGGGAACAGTGCTCACTGGGGAGCCTTGTCCTTCCAGAGAGATCACAGCCCTGCTTCCCGGCCTCTCTTGCTACTTAAGGTACCTTCCATTCAAGAAATCAAAATTCAAGCCAGGCATGGTGGCATATGCCTATCATCCCAGTACCTGGGAGCCGGAGACAGGAAGATCAGGAGTTCAAAGTCATCCTCAGCCACATAGTGAGATTGAGGCAGCCTGGTAGCTCTCTCCTCTCTCTCTCTCCTCTCTCTCTCTCTCTCTCTCTCTCTCTCTCTCTCTCTCTCTCTCTCTCTCTCTCACACACACACACACACACACACACCTAAAATCAATTCTGGGAACAAGTATAAAACTTTAGCTCTCCGAGATGATTAAGTTCTCGATCCTGCAGAGCTGCTGGAGAGCTGGGATCTGCCATCAAGCTGTCCACATAGGTGCTTCCTCCCAGTTAACGGCAGGGCCCTGACTGCACGTCTGGAGTTTTGTTCAGAGGTCCATGCAAAGGGTTTTCACCACAATCCAGGTGTGTTTCTGTGTGTGCAGCTACACTTGTGTGCAATCTGCATGTGGAGACCAGAGGTAGGGTGTAATCCCTTAGGGATAATTCACCTTGGTTTTTGAGAAAGGTCCTCTCACTGGCCTGGGGCTCACCATTCGGCTAGGCTAGTTGACCAGTCTCCAAGTAGCTGACTATCCCCAATTCCCCAGAGATGGGAAATTAAGTGTATGTCACCATGCCTGGCTTTTTTTAAAAAATGTGTTCTGGGTTTGAACTCATGATTGTACAGCCAGCACTTTACAACTATCTCCTCACCCCCCCCCCTTTTTTTCAAAACAACTCTGGGGTTTAGTCTAAGCCATTCACCCGACACACACACTTAACCTTTTCCAGCCCGAACACCATAAGAACACTGCATTTGTCCAAATGCAAGGCTGCCCCACAGAAACTTGCCCTGGCACTCCCACCCCAAGGTCTGTGGGAGCAGCCATGGCAGCAGCCCCCAGGACAGATGCAGGTTGAAGGGAGGTGCCCGGCGTTTATTTCTGGAGCAGAACCTCAGCACTGGACACAGTTTTGCATGAAGTCGACACACAGACTTGTATAGTAAGTAGGATAGTCACGGAGGTGACTGACATGTGCGGATGACACAAAGTCTACCGAGCGCACCAGGACCCGGTGAGCCAGGCGTGCCGCTACCATGCGTTCCACGTCTCTGGCTGAGACCACCGCATCAGCTTTGGAGTAGAGGTAGAGCTCAGGCCAGTGGGAGCCCGAGTCCTGCAGCCGGTCATAGAAGTGGGTGTGGAAGAGGGCCGTGAACGGAGCGAGCAGGAAGTGGAACAGGACTATGACCATGGCAAAAGCCACCAGGAGCAACAGGCGCAGCGCAGCAGGCCAGCGCTCCAGGATGGTTGCCAGGGCCCTCAGGGCCCCTACCAGGTTGCGGTCACCAGGACCACTGTCAAAGATGGTGCCCACCATGTGCAGGTGGCTGAAGCGCGGGTGGGTCTGTAGGAGCTCCAGCACGTAGCGGTAGAGCATGACGCCAGCGTTGCTGAAGACGTGGAAGAGCAGCGGTTCCCTCTCAATCTCGTAGTCAAAGAGGAGCTCAAGCAGCTTCTGGGCCATCACACGAAGTGAGGGGATGCCCAAGGACTCAGAGAAGAAGACCATGTGCCAGGGGGCCGTGTATCGGATCACAATGCAGCCCTGGAGAGACGAGAGGGACCAGGTCAGTCCCAGGGAGACGGTGGGGTGGTGGACACAGTTTAGTCAGAAGCCAGCAGCTCTAATTCCACAGCTCTGTCGTAGCTAGCCCACCAGCTGCAGGCCCAGGAGTGGAAGCACACGCAAGGCCTGTTTTGTTTTGTCGGTGGTGGTGGTGGTGTTTATTTGCTAGTTTTTGTTGTTTTGTTTTGTTTTTGAAATAGGGTTTCTCTGTGTAGCCTGGCTGTCCTAGAACTAGCTCTATAATCCAGGCTGGCCTCGAACTCACAGAGATCCGCCTGCCTCTGCCTCCCCAGTGCTGGGATTAAAGGCGTGCTCAAGGCTGCTTTTCCAATACCCTGCTTCATGCTGTTCACGCCGCCTCAGCCTGGGATGGGATTTGACGCCTGAAGCTGACAGCATGTTTTGGAGACATCTGATCCAACTAGAAGAGTCTCTTCTCTGTAGTTCCTTCTATGGCTGTCCTCCTGCCCCAGACCTTGCATAGTTAAGGCCTTGGGTCATGGAGACAGCATGTTGCAGCTATTTAGCACCCCCATGAGACAGAGGGACGGCATGCAGGCCTCAGCCTTAGCCACCAGAGGGCGCTTCTGAGCCAGATCTGCTTAGCAGTCCTGTCCCCTTCCCTGCTGCGGTGCCCTGAAAACAAGAGGCCACACTGTCTGTTTTTGGGGATCTGACCTTTAATTATAGCTGGTTCCTGGACTTAGGATCATTCCTCACACTCACCTTAAAATTCCAAACAGAAAGAGAGGAAAGGAGGGAGGGAGAGAAGAAGGGAGGGAGGGAGGGAAACAGAAACAAAACAATGAAAGAAATTCTAAATCCAGAGAACATTGTTGCTCTTAAATCCAAAAATCTAGGCCCAAACTCACTTTCAGCTTCCATACCCTTACTGGCAGGACCCCTTGAAGGCCAGTTGGAAAAGGCACCAGACGCTACCCTGCCTGGGCCTTAACCCCTTATTAATTTGTTCTAGCGACAAGGAGCCTCTCTGTCAGGGGCGTCTTAGTTGGGCAGGCTCTGGGGTCTGGCAGGTCTGTGCTTAATTCTTGGCCCTGCCACTTATTAAATGTCTGGGCAAAGAGTAATTTACTTCCTTTTTCTCAGTCTTGGTCCCCATCTATAATTGGGATGACACCCACCTCAAAAGGTTATGGTAGAAGTTAAGTGAAAAAAAAAATGTATCTCAAGTGACAAAAATGGCACCTGGCACAAAGTGAATCCTCACAGAAATAACAAGGGGAGAAGGGTGTGGGCAGTTCTCTGATGACCCAAACAGGAAAGGCCAGCCATGCTCACCAGCCATAGACCCCTGGGCTTCCAGCCATGGAGGCACTAAAAACTCTTGGGGGGGGGGGGGCTGCTGAAGACCACCCACACTCCCAAATGCCTATGCCTGACGGAGGCTCTTTCCCCAGCAGCAGGTGGGTCACACACTCTTACAAATATACCCTTACCGCCCAGTCTCCGGTGAGCCAAATCAAATCACAGGGGGAATATAGAGTTAAGGAACACAGCATTAACTGCAGTGTTTGGCCCTGGACTGGACTCTGGGGTTGGACAAATCAGCTGCCTGAGATGCTTCGGGAACCTGCTTTTTGGGTGTCCAGACAGGGACTGGAGATGGGACGCAACAAGAAGTTACTAACAGGACTAGATGGAGCACATGGTCTAAAGGAAAGCAGGCCCCACACAGTAACTACATCCTACTGAGATAAACGGCAGAGAAAACCTAGACGGACACACCCCTTACAGGGTAAGCTGAGGCAGTCTCTGGGTGGTAGAAAATAAGGTGGTGTTTTCTTTCAAATAAAAAAAAAATTGGGGGCTGGAGAGATGGCTCAGAGGTTAAGAGCACTGGCTGCTCTTCCAGAGGTCCCGAGTTCAATTCCCAGCAACCACATGGTGGCTCACAACCATCCGTACTGAGGTCTGGTGCCCTCTCCTGGCCTGCAGGCATACACACAGACAAATATTCTGTACCCGAGTCACCAAAACCCCTTCACACTACTGACTTCCAGTGCCAGTACTCCCAATTGTCCCTCCACACACTCTGCAGCGAAGGGCTCTCTCTCTCTCTCTCTCTCTCTCTCTCTCTCTCTCTCTCTCTCTCTCTCTCTGTGTGTGTGTGTGTGTGTGTGTGTGTGTGTGTGTGTGGTTTTTCAAGACAAGGCTTCTCTATATAGCCTTGGTTGTCCTGGAACTCGCTCTGTAGACCAGGATGGACTCAGAGATCCGCCTGCCTCTGCCTCCCAAGGGCTGGGCTTAAAGACGTGTGTCACCACCACCCGGTCAGCAATGGGCTTTCTTAATGGCAAACCTAGTTTCACTTCACAGTCTCACTTAATCCTCTGTGGACCAGGCCCTGGCATCGCCTCTAAACGTATACACTTTGTCTCCTTGATTTGTATCCCTCTGAAGGGTACTTTGAGGAGATCTGGCTATACATGTAAAAGGGGGTTTTCCACACTGCACCCAGGCCCTCCTGGGGCTCTTGCTGGCTACCACAACCTCCACATCCGAATTTTAGAGAGGCCTAAAAAGTGTGACTCTTCTCTGAGGCCCTCTGACCCCAAAAATGGGAAAGGAAAGGGAAGGCGCAGTCAGTCCTAAGCTCACCTGGTCAGGAAGGGAAGACGTCCTAGGAAACTAAGTCTGGTGCATCCTGCCCTGGCTCCTGCCATTCAAAGAGCCATGGTCAGGGATGTGGGGTGTGAGCTTACTCTACAACCAGGGAATACATCAAGGCCCTGGGGGAAGGAGAAACAGGTCAGGGGACTGAACAGCAGCATGAGGACATGGTGTCATCCTGACAGAGTCCCGAGTCCGCTGTCTTCCTCACGGGCCTTTGCTCCAGCCCAGAGGGGAAGCCGCCAAGCTTAATGTCCCCCACAAAGCACCCAAGAGCAGCAGAGGCCCACATCCCAGGCAAGCACTGGCCCCAGTACTCACCCTTTTGTGGTAGATGGCGCTATACTTGGCCAGATTCTTGTCCCTGCAGCCACCCCAGCCCAAGAGAATCACCACAGGCAGCTGCTTCCTGGACTCCTTCCCACCTTGTCTGGGGGTCCCTGAAACACAAATGGGGAGTGTCAACACAGGCAGGATTGGGGTTCTGACCAATAGAGAGCTGTAGGAAGAAACCAACAGGTGGCCCAATCTCTAGGTGGCTCCTGGCCAAGTGCCTTTTCATCGACCTCCGTCAAGGCGCCGTAGCATCACCGGAGAAACCCACACGAGGAGGACATATTTCAGTAACTCAAATCGCATGAAAATAAAGTGGCTGCCCTTTCCAGAAAACATCACCTCCCATCCCAGGGAACGATGACCTATGGGCTAAATCAGACTGATTTCTTTCATTTTCAAAGACTACATTCATATCTTTGTGTGGAAAGGGCCATGTGTCCAAGGTGTGAGTGTTTGGGGTCAGAGAATAACCTTTGGAGTTGGTTCTCCTTCCTTCATGTGGGTCCTGGGGATCAAACTCGAGTCGTTAGACTTGGCAGCAAATGCCTTAGCCCATGGAGCCATCTTGCCAACCCACTGTTTTCTACGCTCCATGAGCTAAAATGGTGCGTGTTTGTGTAGTGTATGCACTTGTCCACGTGGTGTGTGCGTGCACTGTGGATGCTAGAGGTCACTGGGGATCTTTCTCAATCCCTCTCCACCTTGTTTGTGGAGCAGTCTTTCAGTGAACTCAGCTCATCGATTCATCCAGGCTGGCCAGCCGATGAGCTCCAGGATCCACTTGTCTTTGCCTCCCCTCAACACTGGGGTCACAGATGTGTGCTGCCCTGCCCAGTTTGACAGTGGTCCTGGGTATATGAACTGCAGGCACTTTACCCATGAGCCACCTTCCCAGCTCCAAAAATGGTTTATTTGCTTTGTTTGTCGTTGTCTGTTTTACATTGCTGGGGATCGAGCTGAGGGCTCCACAGTAGTCTACCTCTGAGTACCTCAAGCCAAGGCTTTTACTTCTATGTAGATCAGACTGGCCTCGAACTTAAGGAGATCCCTGTGCTTTTGTCTCCTGAGATTAAAGGCATGCACCACTATGCCAGGCGCCTATACTTTTTACATTTTTAAATGGTTAGAAAAAAAATCAGTGTGGCGACACATACCTACAATCTAGCACACAAGAAGCTGAGGCAGGGGGACTGACTGGTGGAGAGCTGCCTGGGCTACGTATGAAAACACAGTCTTCAAAAAAAAAAACACACAATTTAAATTTATATGTATATAGCTAAGCATGGTGGCACATGGATCTTTGGGATTTGAGGCTAGCCTGGTCTACACAGAGAGTCCCAGGGCAGTCAAAGCTACTTAGAGATACCCAATCTAAAAATAAATAAATAGCAGGTGGTGGTGGCACAAGCATTTAATCCCAGCACTCGGGAGGCAGAGGCAGGTGGACCTCTGTGAGTTCAAGGCCAGCCTGGTCTACAAAGCAAGTTCCAGGACAGCCAGGGCTACACAGAGAAATCCTGTCTCAAAAACAAATAAGCAAACAAACAAACAAACACATAAATCTATAAATTTACAAAAGTCTCATGTGGTGTCTGAAACTGTAGATTAGTAGCAGACAGCTTGCCTGGCATAAATCAAGCCGTGGGTTAAATCCCCATCACCTGAGCGTGCCTGCGGGGCACACACACAGTTTTATTGGGGTCTGGAGATGTAACTCACATAGCAGAATGCTGGCCTAACAAGTATAAAGCTGTGAGTTCACTCCCCAACACCTTAAACCCTGCATGGCAGTACATGCCTGATACCTCAGCACTTGGGGAGTGAATCAGGGGGATTAGAAGTTCAAGGTCACCTTTGCCAACAGAGTGAGTTTGAGACGAGTCTTTGCAAACACAAGACCCTGCCTAAACATAAATAATAAGTAAATAAATAAATAAGTTACGCTGAAACATAACCATTCTTATCCAATTTATCTACTGTCTATGGCTACCTTCAGATGAAAACAGCACCGACCACAAAAGACATCGACAGCTCACAAAGCCTTAACTATTACTGTCTCTTTACAGAAAAACTTCCTGCGTTCATGCAAGTTTAGCCTCTATAACACCATGATGCAGGTATGCTGTATAGTTTCCTTCTACCCACCCTGCGCACCGCCAGGGTTAGCTCCAGCCACAGCTGGAAGCATGTCTCCTTCGGTGATAGTCTTAGGAGCACAAGCTGCCTGCACCATGCCTGTCTGAAGAGCCTCCCCAAAATCATGCACCACCTACCTCATTTTCCCTGCAAGTGAGTGCCACCCCCTCTGTGGGGCATTTGCACAAGGACTGTCTGTAGCTAGACAGCCGACCTCTAAAAAGGCCTGGCACGTACCCTTCCCAGGACCAAGCCACTCGGCTATGCTCAGCTGACACCTGAAATTTATTGATGCTAGTGGTGACCTGGCAACACTGAATTTCAAGGCTAGTTACGAAGACGGTAAATATAAATCACTAACCTTTGGACAAAAGGAAGACAACAATTTCCTGTGGAAATTAATGTGATTGAACTGTTCAGTGCTCCTGCTCTTGAGGAGCACGACTCTGGCCTTCAGAGATTAACTGCCTGCACCCACGGGGCTCTAGGCCAGGTGGAACAGAAGCTGCCAGACCCTCAGCCCCTTGCGGACATGCGCTATCCCTTCCAGCCTCTACTAACCCAGGTGGCTCCAAACAATCACAGCCTTTCTTATCCCTGTGCCCCTCTACCTTCTGCCAGGAGGGCACCTCAGGATCTGCACTATGTGGGTGGGGACCAGCCCAGCCTTGCCCACCACTGAAGCTCCGGCAGCTGCAGGCTCCTGGGTTAACCCATGGGACGGACCTCTGGAGTGAAGCCACCGACCAGATTTCATATCCACCGGATATGAAATATACGATCTAGGACTCAGCTCTGGGGAGAGATCCGTGAAGACACCAGTGCCCGGACATCCTGCCCACTCCCAAAGCCTAAGCACTCCCTCCTGAGAACCAATCTCTGTGCCCACCAGCGTCTGTACCCAACATGCTCTTCACTGGCTGCGGGGAGTGCACACTGCCCCTCTGCAGTTCATAAGTGGAACCCAGTGCCATGCGCACAATAGGCAAGCATCTTCACAGTAGGCTTTACCCATAGCTGTCCCTTTAGATCCTATACATGGACATTCTATAAAAGCAACCTTTAAAATGTGGCTGGGAGAGGGATAGTGGCCAAGGAAAGTCTACCTGAGGAAGTCATGTTCCCTGCCATGCCTCAAAGGTCCAGTGGGGGCATGCAGGGTAGACAGGGGGTATGGGCAGGGCAGGGCTGTGATAAGCCATCTTGGCCACAGTAAGCAGCCCTGGAGCTGGGACCCTGGAAGACAGAGAGCAACAGGCAGAAGGGCAGCAAAGAGTGGGACTGGGTCTGATTCCACTGATTTGGGGGCTTTATACCATAGCAATAAAGAGAGAATAAAAGTTCTGGGATGGGAAAGGGGCACGACCCAATCTGTTACTGATTACTGTGGACTCACACACGTGTTTAATGTCTGTCACGCTCCCCTTAACCAGCAGACTCTGCAATGCAGGAAGTGACATCCACCACGTTTGTCACCACACGCCCGGTGGACAGCACCATGGCTGGCCTGCACAGAAGCTCAGCAGCTATACAGTTATCACACCCCCATCCAACCATGAGACGAGTGGGGGGCACCCACCAACACCATGCTCTCCTTCCACGCACGGGCAGTGCTTGCTGGAGAAGCTGGGCTGCTATGGTGAGGCAGGTGGTGGCAAAGGAGGGAAACAAGGATGGGGGAGGCCAGGTGGGCGTGGGCCACCACATTAGTCCCAGCACTCAGGAGGCAGAGACAAGGGGATTTCTATGAGTTCGAGGCCAGCCTGGCCTATAAAGCAAGTTCCAGGACAGTCAGGGCTGTTACACAAAGAAACCCTGTCTCAGAAAGTGAAAATAAACAAAAAGGACTAGGAGAAGGGATGACAGGAAGACAGTCACAGGCATGGAGTGGTGTCGCACACTTCTAATCCTAGCGCTCTGGAGGTTGAGAGCTCTAGGCCAGCCTGACCTACACAGCAAGAAAAAGAAAACAGATTCATAATCATCTTGAAACACGCGAAATTTCAGTAGGTCACAAACATCAGCATAAGAATTAAAACTAGGGGGCTAGAGAGATGGCTCAGTGGTTAAGAGCACTGACTGCTCTTCCAGAGGACCTGGGTTCAATCCCCAGCACCCACATGGTAGCTCACAACCATCTGTAACTCCATTCCAGGGGATCCAGTGTTCCCTCTCATAACCTCTGTGGGCACCAGGCATGCACGTGGTACACGGATAAACATGTAGGCAGAGCACCAATACACATAAACTCCATCCTGTCAGAAAGGAGAACATCTTGGGATTTTGGCTGAGCAACAGTTTTGGGCATGACGTCAACGTCACAGAGAACAAACAAAGCAGATAAGCTAAGATTTCAATGTCTGTACTCTTTTTAATTTTCATTTTACCTGGGTGAATGTTTTGCCTGTATGTGTGTATGGTGCATTGTGTGTGTGCCTGGTGCCTACTGAGGCTGGACACCCTGGAACAGATTAAGGTGGCTATGAGCCTCCAGATGGATAACAGATACAGAACACAAGGTTTCTGAGAAGGCAACAAGTGCCCTTAACCTACAGGCCATTTCTCCAGGGCCAACTTTTATACTTTAAAGTACACCTTCAGAAAGAAAGAACAGGGCCGGGCCGTGGTGGCGCACGCCTTTAATCCAGCACTTGGGAGGCAGAGGCAGGCAGATCTCTGTGAGTTCGAGGCCAGCCTGGTCTACAAGAGCTAGTTCCAGGACAGGCTCCAAAAACCACAGAGAAACCAAAAAAAAAAAAAAAAAAAAAAAAAAAAGAGGAGGGGGGGGGGGGGGGGGGGGGGGGGGGGGGGGGTATGATATGGTACTTGCATTCATAATATACTTAAAACTCTTAAAACCTAAACTAAAACAAATAAGCAGGTGTGTGTGTTTGTGTGTACGTGTGTGTGTTCATTGTGTGTGGGGGGAGCAGAGAGAGAGAATACACATGTATATAAACGAGTCTGGTATACATAGGTGAGGTGTGCACCCTTGTATGGGCATGGGCACCCATACACACATACGGAAGCCGGAGGAGGACGTGAAGTGTCCTGCTCTGTAACTCTCTACCTATTCTCTGAGGTAGGGCCTCTCACCGAGCCTGGGGCAAAGCTGGCAGGGAACCCCAGTGACTGTCCTGTCTCTCCTGCTCCCCCAGCATGAAGGTTACAGGAGCGTGTGTGTGGCCATCCCCAGCTTTTACACGGTGCTGGCACCGAAGCTCAGACCTCCTGCTTGCACAGCAAGAGCTCGTCGTCACTGATGACGAACGAATGAGTACATGGAAAGATGTTTATCTTCATAGTCATTAGGGGAACGAAAGCCAAAACTACAGTGAAACATCACTTGATGCTTACAAGAAGAGCTATCACCAAAGTCGGAGGGTGAGAAGCCCTGCTAGGGAAACCAGCCCTTCACGCTCCTGGTAGGACGGGGACATGATATGACCACTTTGGACAACCGTTTAGCGGTTCCTCACATATCTAAAATGCACTTAACCCAGCAGTTCTGAGGTAGACGCAGAGGACCTGTGAATTCAAGTAAAACCTGGGCTGCCAATCAAATTTCCAGTCAGCCTGGCACACACAGTTATACTGACCTGGCTGGTCTTATGTCAACTTGACACAGCCAGTCAACTAGAAGAAAGGAGCTTCCATTGAGAAAATGCTCCACAAGATCCAGGTGTAGGGCATTTTCCTAGTGGGGAGGGTCTGGCCCACTGTGGGTGGTGCCATCTCTGGGCTGATGGTCCTGGGTTCCACAAGAAAGCAGGCTGAGCAAGCCATGAGGGGTAAGCTGGTAAGCAGCTCCCCTCCGTGACCTCTGCATCAGCTCCTGCCTCCAGGTCCCTGCCCTGTTTGAGTTCTTGTCCTGACCTCCTTTGATAAAGAACAGCGATGTGGAAGCTTAAGTCAAATAAACCCGTTCCTCCCCAAGTTGCTTTGGTCACGGAGTTTCACCACAGCAACAGAAACCCAAACTAAGACAAAAACTATCTCAAAACACTGAGTCACTTGTGACCCAATAATTCACCCCTAAGAACTGAAAACCACAGTCCATGCAAAAGCTTGGATGTAAATTCTCGTAGTATTCACACCGTGTGAAAGGGATGTGCCATGCAAAGGAATACTATTCAGTCATGAAGACCAAAGTGCCACCCAGCTCTGCAGACGAGCCTTCAAAACACCATGCTAAGGGAAAGGAGGAAAGGTCAAAAATAGCAGATGATTCCAGAAAAGGCAAATCCATGGAGACAGAGGGCAGACCTATGGTCATCAACAGGAGGAAGGAGGGAGGGAGAGTGACCACCAATGAGTCCAAGATTCCTTTTCCAGTATAAAAACTTCTAGAATTGGGTCCTATTGATGTTTTCACAACTCTGTGGACACACTAAAAAACAATAAATTGTACATGTTAAGAAGATGTACTTTATGATATGTCAATTATATCTCAATATCATTTTTTTAAAAATGTAACTGAAAAAGTAAGCTGCAAAATACTATCATAAAAGAATATCATCTAAGTGTACACACAGCCATTCTAAACACGGCAAAAAAACATCAAATATTAATGGCAAATCTCTCTGAAATTAGACACAGTTTCTTTTTTGAGCCAGGGTCTCACGGCCTTGAGCTTGCTGCAGAGTTGAGGAGCCCTGAGCTCTGATCCTCTTGCCTCCCCTAGCTACGTGAGAGATTACAGATGTGCACCACCACAGCCGGCTTATAGTTCTTTTATTCCATGGGTTTTTAACCCATTTTCTAAAAAAAAAAAAAAAAATGGGGCTGTGGTTGTCCATCCTGGGTAAGACCCTGAGATACTGCAAAAGCAAAACAAAACAAACAACAACAACAACAAAAAGATTCCAAAGCAGAGAGTATCAATTTTGCAAGGGAAACTATTTCAGAACTTCAATAGGGAAGGTAGTCCCATCAAAGCCGCCAAGCCAGCACGGTTAAGGATACCCAGAAGCCCTTGGGAATGAAGAAAAATTTTTTTTCTACCCTGACACTACTTGAGCATGCTACAAAAATAACTCAATCCCAGGAAGCCTGTCGTCTGTCAAGGAATAACGGGACGCTGGAAACACAAGAATTACAAATATGTCTGCTGTTCAGCAAGCAGTTCAAGTCATAAACTAAGGCATAAATTAGATTGCGTGTGTCCCAGGGGCGTGTGGAGAAGACAAAGAGGGCCGACATGACACAGGCTGTTTTTAATGGGAGGTAAGAATCAAAACCACAAGGAATGTACGTGCTTTTAAAATGC